GGGTGTTAAACTCTGGGCCAGAGAGGTTTTAATTTGGAGAAGTTTTAGTATTTCTCCATTCCCAGAACATCCTCAGGCTGGGATTAGCGCTGTATCCCCAAACCCCCACACCCCATCCTTTAGCTGCCTTCGGCACTGCTCTCCTGCCCCAGTGAGACTCTTGGCCTGAGTCAGAATCCAACTGGACACAGAAATACCCTGAACTATTGTGGGCAGCACTGGTTACTGACCAGGCGTCCCAGCAGCGTCCCATGGCCTTGGGGCAGCTTCCCTGCAGAGCTGCTCTGTTGGGGTAGATATTCCTGTGGGTCCAGTCAGCACCATCCCTCGGTGCCTCGGACCCACACTCTGTGCAAATCGACACAGGAAATTTTTCGATTAAGCAGGAAACATTCTTCCTTTGCAAGCTTGGCCCTCATGAAGCCCTTTCGGACACAGGGTAGGAGGGGGGCATGCTCACAGCCGGTGGCAGCCTGTGGTGGCAGGACGTCGATCCTTTTGGATCAGGACCCGTGTGTCAGGAAGGGAGTTCTGGGGCTGAACCCCTGCTCTCAGCCTGCAGCATGCGGCCCCGGTCCCGGGGGTGGAGGGTTCACCTGGGAGAGTTCAGCACCAGCACTGGCGGGATGCCAAGCCCGGATTAACCAGCTGAAGACGTCACTTTCCATTATGGGAAAGGCTCCCGAACAGTCCTGAAGCTTTTGGTGCTGGGGACTAGCCACCAGTGCGCGGGGCTCCTGGCACAGGGCAGGGACCCATCAGCGCGGCGGCGCCCGGGGTGATGAGCGAGGCTGGGAGCTGCTCCGGGGGGCATCGCCTGGGTGGCTGAGGATGGCCATGTGGGAGTGGGGTGGGAGAGCTTCCCTGGGCTCCCTGTCCACGACCTTCCTGCGCGTCTGGAAGTGGGTACGAGCTTTCTGGTGTAAGAATGGCCTCCTGACCCTGTCGATGCTGTCGGTTGCCACCGGGTGCCTCCTGGGATTCCTGCTGCGGGTGCTGGAGCTGACGGAGCTGGTAAGCCTGGCTGGGACAGGGATGGGAGCAAGGGGGATGGCGAGGGGCGGTCGGGGCAACCAGCCCAGGGGGCTGGCAAGACATCACCAGCAAGGGCCCCAGACAGCCCCAAAGGCAAAGGCTCCTGCCTAAGAAAACCAGCGCTCAGGGGCAGGTTTCTCCCCATCACCAAAAAGCTGCCGGACAAATCCTGCTTCCCTCCACTGGGAGAGGGGGGCTCGGGGACAGACCCTGTGGGGCTGCAGGAGACTCCAGGTGGGATGAGGATGGGAAGGGGGGAATGGAAGCTCAGCTGCGGGATGCTGAGTACCAGGCTCCCACCAACACAAACGGCAGCGTGGGGCGCTGAGGGGTGAGCTCCTGCTATTACTCTACTCAAGGGCTGTGCAATGTCAAAGCACATTTCCACGCTCTGGAGCAAATAAATATGGAACTGGTGGAGAGCCTGGGGTGTTTCTAGGGGTAACCTTCCCCCAAGGACCTTTGGAGACAGACACATTGGAGAAAAGGCACCTCAAAGGTGTGTTCTCTCAGTGCTTGTGCAGTTAAATGTCACCGTGCTAAAATCCACGTGGCTTTAATGACATCGGGTGTCTTGGCTGCGGCTCAGCCCTGATCTTCAGCTGGGCTGCAGGGGGGATGCTGCTTCAGGGGAGGCTCAGCTGGTGCTGGAATATGTCACCCGCTAGGATTTACCAAAGTCTTGTCACTTCAATTACGCCCTCCAGCATCACCACCCGCAGCGGGGATGATCTTGTTACTTAACCGAAGGCGGGCGTAATCTCCCTGCGCCTGGTGCATGTGCCTGTGAGAGCGCAGCAGCCGCCCACACCAGGCTCGAGGCCGGCAGAGCCAGGGGACTCCTGCCCCTCGTCCTGCCACGTGCCGAGTTCATCCATCCTCTGCGCCAGTCCCGCCCTGCCGTCACCACAGCCCTGCGCATCGTCCCCAGCAGCCGCTTCTCCCCATCGGAGACTTCTGTCCCAGAATCTGTGCCGTGGATGAGGCGCTGGGAAAGCAGCCAGTCCCTGCTTTCCTTCCCGTGATGCAAAATTGTCACAAAGCTGAGAAACCCGCTGACAAAAGAGAGGCTGTTCAAACCTGCCCTTGCTCCTTGCAGCCAGCTGGACCCATCACAGCAGAGCTCCCTGGGAAACCAGCCACACTTAGGCCACACGGGGGGGGTAGCACAGGGACGGCAGTGTGGAGCACTTCATTTGCCTCGGCATCCCTCGAAGTCCAGTGGGGTTGGCTACTCTGGAGTAACCAAAAGCACCTGCTTTGGCCTGGGGCCATCGCAGGTCCATCTTGACACCTTGACAGAGGACAGGGAGGGAGGGAGGGAAGGTGGATGGAGGGATGGAGGGATGGAGGGATGGATGGATGGAGGCATGGATGGATGGATGGATGGATGGAGGGATGGATGGAGGGATGGATGGAGGGATGGATGCTGGCCAAGTGGCTGCTGGTCTCACAGACCCCCTCACTCTTTCCCCGGTCATGGCTGTGGGATCCAGGCTTTGGGGGACTCTCTCCAGGCAGCCTGTCCCCATGCCTGTGTGAGGAGTGTAGGGGGTAGAGAGATGCCACAGGGTGGAAACCTCCTTTGATGCACCATGAGGCTGCACCACAGATGGTCCAGATACTTGGGCTCTCCCTGAGCTTGTCTTTGCCATTTGCAGCCACAGATATTTCCACCTTTTGCTGCCAGCTGCAGGCTGCGCCCAACACTTCAGAGCACTTTTCGACATGCAGTTGAGCCTCTGCTCCCCAGTAACACGTGTCATGACATTCGGGGCAGAGGGGCCAGGGGGACCATTCCCAAGGGGGTGATGGACCCAAGGACATTTTTGGGAGGGGACCAGCCCAACATGTCTCTCTCTGGTTCACATCTGGGATTCCCATATGACCAGGATTTCCCCTCCCTGACCCAGTTCCTGGTAAGGGACAGCCAGAGGAACAGTGTCTCAGTGCCATACGGAATGGCTTCCTGCTGGGAAGCAACCTCAGAGCTGGGTCTGCTGGAAAAAAAGGCAAATTTATCAGGTTTGAACTCTTAACCCGTGGTCAGCATACACTTCTCAGCTCTCACCTGACACAACGGCTCTGCTCTGTGCAGGAGAAGCAGTACTTTTCCTTTCCTGGAGAGCTCCTCATGAGGATGTTGAAGATGCTGATCCTGCCCTTGATCACCTCCAGGTAAGTCATCATCTTGTGCTTCTAAAGTACCATCTCTCCATCACGCTGAAGCGATCAGCCCACGATCTCCCTTTAAGGAGATCACCCCTAAACTGCCTCAGGTGAGAATCACGCCGGCCCCAGGCAGCCAGCAACCAAGCAGCATCCCCTGCCCTGGTGTCTGTCAAACCCCGGGATTTCCCAGCAGTGGTCTGGGACAAATCCTCACCCGGATTTGGTAGACACCTGCACCCAGGTCAGACACCTGCGCTGGCTGGGCTGTTCCCTTCGGTTTGGGCGCAGCCAGCTGGCGGTGCCAGCACCATCCGTGGGCGGTTGATAATGGGCAGCTGCTTAAACTCAAAGATTTCCTCATTTAGCGGGTTTCGAGGAAGCTCAGGTAGAAACCACAAGCATCCCTCAATGTTGCATCTATGTTTGCAAATCCCACTTTTATCAGCCCCTCCAGATCTAGAAATAGGTGACAGAACTGATGGAGTCACACTCAAGTCTAAGCAAGGTCTTGAAAAGCTTACATGGATTTACATATAAAGGCACCAGGCGCACTCTGGGGACGGATTTGTCCAGGCTGGGGCTCAGCTCAGCATCCCCCACCTTTGCGTTGCTTTTGTGGCCCCTCTGGAGCGTCCCGGGGTCTCTCTCCTCCCGGACATGTGGCTGCTGGAGGGGATCTGTGAGCTGGCCCCCGCCTCAGCCGCCCAACCCTCGGGGACCCCCAAGGATGGCGTTAGCCCTTGCAGCCACGGCCTACACCACGTCCCACGTGGGGGGTTTCAGGCCACTGCCCGGCACCGTGGGCAGGCCCAGCCAGGGCTCCGCAGGGCCCTGGAGCTCTGAATGTCAGTGGCCAGGAGCTCAGTGTGGGCACCCTGCAGCCCCTAAATGCTCCCATTTGCCCCCAGTGCTGGCACCACTGCTGGCCAGCTCTTCCTCCTCGTGCAGCCTGTAATGCCCTCTCTATTTTTAGTCCAGTTTTGTTTAAAAGTAGCTTATGGGCTACTTCTTAAGAAAGCTTACATGTACATTAAGTCTGAAGCAGCATCTCTCTCCCTGGGGGAGTGGGGTCCATCCCCACCAGGATTTTATAAACCTTGCTAATACCTTTCTTTACCGTTCAGAGTGGCATGCAGCGCCAGCACAGGGCACTAGATATTTAAGAGAACATCACCAAAAAAAAAAAAAAATCAGCGTTAGTTATTCACCACCAAAATACACTAAGAATATTTACTTCATATTCCTCGGAGAAAACAGAAAACATGGCCTGACCTTGAAAAGGTTCTCAGAGCGGGGTGTCCTGCCCTGCACAGCTCAGCCTGGGTTGCCACAAGTCTGTCCTGGGTGTGAGATCCTGTGGACACAGGCACACGGATGTGCAAGAGCTCGGTGATGCCCTTAAGCGTCAGTTAAAAAAAAAATCTACAGAAACTTCTCCCACCTTGGAGATTTTGCCTATCAGATGCACCTTTGCCGTTTCGGGTGCAGATGCTGACCACAATCTTTTCTGCTGCAGCCTTATGTCCGGGCTGGCCACCATGGACTCCAAGGCCTGTGGGAAGATGGGTGTGATCACCCTCACCTACTACCTTTGGACAACATTCATGGCAGTGACTGTTGGCATCATCCTCGTGGTCAGCATCCACCCCGGCGCAGCTGCCCAGAAGGACAACTACTCTGGGGGTAAAGTGGTGCTCAGCTCCGCGGATGCGTTACTGGATTTAATCAGGTACGTCACAGGATGTCAGGAGGAGCCGAGTTCATGGCGGCAGTTCAGACAAGACCTTCCCACTTCCTTCTCAGGAGGTATTGACATCTCAAGGGAAACCAGAACCGCTGGCCACGCTGACTAGGCACCAGCACGCTTGAGCCCATCAACACGGGGCTCGTTTCTCCTCACACGTGGCTCTGGCCACTGTCACCCCCGCTGCTCCACCAGCAAAGAGGGGTGCAGCCGCAGAGAACAGGAGATTGTTTTGGCTGAGCCAGCGCTGAGGGGTCTGGGGGAGTTGGGAACGGTCAGGGGGAGGGTCATGGTTGGGCTGGAGGAGCTGCGAGGGATTTTCCAATGCAGATGATTCCATGAAATTCCCTGCAGAGCTCAGCGGTTTTCCCTCTGCAGCCCCAGCTGTGACGTGCCAAGCTCTGTGGCTCCTTGGGCTTTGCAAGGCAAAAATGAGAAGTTGGCCCAGGGCTGGGTTAAAGCCGTGGACAAGGGTGAACCGGGGAGGGGGCGCAGCGCTGCCCCAGGGAGGATCTCCATTTCTGGAGGTGCTCCATCAACTGGACAATGCTGCGAGCATCCTGCTCCAGCTCTGCAGGTGGTCCTGCTCTGAGCAGGGGACTGAAGCGGCAGGTTTACACCCCACCTCCGGCCTTCTCCGAGTCCAGTTTGTGGGGGCTCAGAGTCCAGCTCTTTGTTCACCTTGCAGCCTGCCTCCGCCCTCAGCTTGCACACAGGACGCTGAGCTGGTGCTGGCTGTATCGGTACTTCTCTTGGCCTCACGCCCGCCAGAGGTGCTGCCCAGGTTGTTCCCTGTGTTCTCGTGACACACTTTAACCCCTGCACAACTGCTCTCTTACAGAAACATGTTCCCTTCTAACCTGATCGAAGCTTCGTTCCAGCAGGTGAGCTCGCCCGGCTCCACCGCCGCAGGTGGTGGGGATGGTGCCTCCCAGTTGCCTCCTGCTCACCCCAGGGCAGGCACCCAAACGTGGGAGGGTGCTGGTGGGGGCACAGACTCACAGGGATGCCCCTGCCTGCCCTCTGCCTGGGGGGGCTCCCGTACAAGCAGCACAGCATCTCCTCCCTTGGCCCCCGCGCTTGTACAGCGGCTTCTCCGCCCCTGGGGCTGGGGGCAGAGCGGCGGGCAGGCAGCAGGCACGGGGAGGGAATGCATGAAGTAAAGCGTGGGGTGGGCGAAGGGGAAGGACCAAGGAGGGGCCAGGTAGGGTGAAGGGAAAATGAGCAAACTCATGGTATTGGGAAAACATCTGCAAAGCCCCCAGAAGGAGGGATGGGGGTGAAGGGGCCTCTTCGTGGGGACCATGACGCTACCCAGTGCTGCACTGGGATCCTGCAGGGACCTGACCCGCAGAGGCCAGGGGTGCAGCCCTGCCCGAGGCTGGCTGTGCTGAGGGCTGCAGGAACGACCACACTTCCCCCTGCCCATTTCCTGCATCTCTTATTTTCACCAGCCTTTTTCTACCCGAAAACCAAACTCTGAGCCTCCAGCACCACCTGGCCCAAGGAGGACTTTGCCTCTGTGTTCAGAGCAGGAAGGAGTTTGTTGCCAGCAGGACATTAACCTCACTGCTTTGCTTCTGTTCCAGTATCGAACTGTTCTCGTTCCGGTGGTGAAGTCTCCCACCTTTCCAAAGATCCCAGGAAAATCTCTGAGTTTTATTTACTTTGCACCCGACGATGAAAACCCTGAAATTCATCGGCCTGTGTTCCTCGAGCTGACGCCCTCACCCGAGATGACCTACAGGACGCTGCCCGGGACCAGTAATGAGATGAACGTCTTGGGAATTGTCATCTTCTCAGCAACGATAGGTACCTGCTCAGCAGAGCGGGGCTCCATGCCGTGCCCTGACCCATCGCAAGGCTGTTCAGCGGCCGTTGCAACCCAGGGTGGTGTAAATGAAGGAAGGGATGCTCAGAGGGATGAGATTATTTTAGCTCTAGCTGCCCAAGTCCCTGGGGAACCAGGCACGGAGCTTATACCAACACCTTTGTCAGCACCATCCATAATCGAGCTCAAAAAAGGGGTGAAGCACCAAGGAGACTGTTTCCTTCCCAGGTTCTCCGTATGAGCCAAGCACAGGCTCTGAGGGGTTTCAAATTGTCGCCTAAGCTGAAGGGGCCTTTTTGTGAAGTCTGCCGAGGTGAGCTGTGACTTTTGCAGAGGCTACCTGGGAGAGAGGTTGTTACAAATGGTCTGAACCCCTCACCCTGGCAGTGTTCAAACTCCCTGGGCAGGCATTAAGTGAGAGGTGGTCAGATTTAATTCCTGTCACAAATTTATGGAAATCTGTACCAGGGCTTTCTGAAGGTAAGAAAGTTTCCTGCGCTGAACAGCTTGTGACCTCATGCGGACAAGGCGCTCGGCAGCAATTTCAGGAAGGACAAAGGAGCCGAGGTTGGAAGGAGAGAACATGCAGGGATAGGGAGGAAGAAGGCTGAAAGGGGAGAAAGTCAAGGGAAGGAGGAATTTGGATCTGACTCAGAGCGTAGACAGGACACTGGGTGCATGGCTGAGGGAGGGAGGGAGGAATCAGGAGGGAAGAGAGTAGGAGGTGATGCGATGAGCATGGGGGCAGGATTACGTGAAGATTAAGAGGCGAGGGCAAGAAGCTTGAACTTAGTGTATAAGGAACTAAAGAGCCAATTAGAGGATTTGAAGGGTGGAAGACTGCCCTTAGAGCCAGGGGAGAGCGACCAGTTTTAAAGGCTACGATACAGCGAGGAGATGGCCACAGTGCGACTGGGCAGACACTGACCCGCTCACAGATCCTCAAGGACAAAAGAGATGCCTCTGGCAGTCTCCCATCCCAGCAGCCAACAGCATCTGCAGACCAGACGCTCAGGGAACGTGTCAAACTCCTGCTCACAGGACGCGTGCCCTCCTCCAGCCCAGCCAGGAGAAGCCGCTTTTCTCTTCTGAGATTACCAGCCCAGCACTCGGCAGTGTGGGAGTGAGGATCAGCCCCGGGCTAGGACACAGCAGGAGATCACCTGAGCCAGCCCGGCCACCCAGGTGCGCTCTCTGGGTTTTGCACGGCCTGGATGAGAGCTCCACAAAGCCACAGACCAACAGATCATCACCTGCACGGGGACAGGCAGCCTGGAAAAGGGCATTCACGGATCCGCGGGAAGGTTCACCTGTGAGGAGGGGTTGAATTAGTGGGGTTTGCCTGGCAGAAAACAGGAGGGGGACAAGGAAGGCAGCACAGCTCTGTGCCATGGGAGACGGGGATCAGCTCCTCCTTGCAGCAAGGCGGGGGAAGCCAGGTGGGGCTGGTTGAGATCTCAGCAAAGGGAATTTGTGTCCAATGCCAACAGACGGTTTGTGGGACTGAGACCAAGGCATCTCTGCTGTGGACGGTAACCCCACACAGCTACCCCAGCTCCAGCGATCTCCTCACTGACACCGAGCATCTCCAGTCATCGCTGCTGCTTTTTAAATCCAGAAAAGGGCACGTGAAGCGAGCTGTCCATTTGCTAGGGCCATCTTCTCCAAACCAGCTGTCTGAAGAACCTGCAGAGAAATGGGATTTCTTTCAACCAGCTGTTACAGCCACCAAATATTGGAGAAGTAGCAACAGAGCTGAGATTTAAATGTGTCAAACCTTGTCTCATTTCTGAAAGTCCTGGCAAAGACGACCCTAACTCATCTCTCTTCTGAGCAAGCCAAGAGACCCAACTACCCGTCAAGGATCCTCAGCCCTGAAGACTGAAGAGCGGTGAGAGGGACGAGACAAGATCCTGACTGTATTCTTCTTTTCCAGGCTAAAGCAGACACTTACACAGTGCTTCAGAAGTCATTTCAGCTAACGGCTCCACGCAGAAAGTACGTGCACCAGGCTGGAGACTGCCTGGGCAAATACTCACAGACTCATTTTGCTTCTGCCCAGTGGGAAATCCCCTCACCAGTGAAAGCAACGGGATTTAGCACTGGCCAATTCTGCGCTGGCAGACCAGAAGCACCACAATCCCTCCAACCACTCCTGTCTTTCTGCTCTAGTATTCCCTCAGCAGAAAATTAGACTGAAATTCGGTTAATACAACAGCATCAAAAAAACCAGAATTAAGACACGAGGCTTAACGCCTGTATCTAAGCAACTCAAACCCTTCCTGACGTATTACTGCATGGCAGCGTGTTGTCACCGCCGCGGTGCAGCCTGTGAGTCACCAGCAAAACCATCCGCATGGAACAGCTGGTCGGGGGCCAGCACAGCCCGTCCCACGAGGGAACCGAGATCTGCCGCCACCCCCGGGATGGGCTGTCGGGGCACCTCTGAGGAAGCTCACCTGAGCGGCAGATGTGGCGCGTGGCTCTTCTCACTCCCGAGCAAGGGCAGGGACTCGCCTTGTCACCGCACCCCTCAGCTATGTATAACCCCACTGAGCTCAGTCCTTTGAAAAAATCGGGTTTTATTTCTGGAGCTACATTATTCTGGTATGACCAAACAGCAAAAAGACACCTTATCCACCTCAAGCAGTGGCTCTTCCGTTACTGAGTAGCAATGATCAGTTATCTGTGCGAGGTTTAGTCCGAATCCTGGGTTTGGGGGAGTTTTTGGAGAAGCCCAGGTGCTTGTGTTTGCTCGGAGCAGAGAATTACCACGACCCGTAAGAGCACGTGGAAATCTGCATTAAGTCTGCCCTGCTGTGAGTCTGTGACCACCAGAGCCTCAAGACCCTGGGCAGGACCCGCGCTGCTCCCGCGGTACTACCCAGTAACTAAACCGATGTGCTTGGTTGCAGGACTGCTCCTGGGGAAAATGGGGGAGCGAGGAACACCCCTGGTTAACGTCTGCCAGTGTCTGAATGAAGCAGTTATGAAAATTGTCTCAATGGCAGTATGGTAAATCTGTTTTTGATTGAATCAGTTCTTGTCTTACTTGCTATCTGATGGATAATGCCAGTCACACAAGTATCTATTGCGAGCCCCTGGATGTATTTTTGTCTGACTACCACACAGAACCAAACACCCCAATAACTGTCGCGTAGCGCTTCAGGGTTTGCTGCATCCTCATAAACATTCTTCTGTCCTTATTCTGTGCAGGTACTTCCCCTTTGGCATTGTATTTCTCATTGCTGGAAAGATCCTGGAGATGGAAGATCCATCAGTTATAGGACAGAAGTTGGGACTATATTCCATTACAGTGGTGACAGGGCTAGTCATCCACGGACTCGTCCTCTTACCTCTGCTTTTTGTGCTCATCACCAAGAAGAACCCCTTCACTTTCATTCAGGGGATACTGCAAGCCTTGCTGATCGCCTTAGCTACATCGTCCAGGTATGAAAACGTGGCTGAAATATGCCGATACAGCCGAGAAGGCACCTGGCTCAGTCGAGGGAGACATGCCTGCGGGCACAGCCGGGCAAGCTGCGGGAGAACAGTTATAATTCAGACACAGAAAAATTATGTTCCGGCACTATTTGAAAGGAAATCGCTTCCAGTTTTAGTGGGAAGCAGGATGTTTGGCACTGCCCTGGTACTCGGGGGAAGAGTCTCAGTGCATCTTCAGACCCGGCCAGCTGGCAGTGCTCCTCCACTCGCCTGCTCCGGGGGCTTTCCCAGAGCAAAGCAGCAAGGGTTGTCTCGCCGTCTGCTGCTTTACATTGCTGCAGTCAGTTTTCCTTCGAAGAATTCAGAATAGGGCTGTTGCAGGTGCTTTATAAAACAGTGTGGAGCCACGACCCTGGGTTTTAATTGCAAACATCAAAAGCTCTTCTGAATACTTTACTGAAAATCTTAACGCCGGTGTATCCGAGGCTCTTCCAAAGGAAAGCGTTGTCTGCTTTGATAAGACTTTATAATTTTAGATTATTTGAATCGATTTTATTTTCACTGAAAAGCATTCTTTATAACAACAAATAAACTTTATATTAGAAACTACCACCCTTTCTAGAAGACACACAAATTAAAACATTTTCTTAGAAAACATATGACTATAGGCAAAGGGCTTTCCTGGCTTCCCTGATGTTGCTTCTTCACAAAACCCCAATAAAACCGGCAGCCACTGCTGCAGGTCTCTTGCTACTCTTCAGTACCCGATCCCCTCCTGAACCTGGGTCTCCAGCTCCGGGCCCATCAGGCTTTCCCCCCCCAGCTGGAGAGCTGTGACGCAGAGGACGGCGGGAGCACCCTGCGCCTTGTCCCAGCCAGGGGCTGGGGGCCGCCGCGCTGGGCGCTGCGCCCGACTCCTCTCAGGAAAGCAGCCCCTGCCTCCACCTGCCTATCGCAATCCCACCGACTTCTTTTCCACGCTCGCCTCCTTCTTCCACTCAGCCTTCTTCCTCCACGTCCTCGTCCCGACTCCCGTGCGACAGCTCCTCCGTGCTAGACAGAAACAAGAGAGAAAGGTCAGCGGGTGCAAGCGAAGCCGCTGCTCCTCGGGCGTGTGGCAGGGAGGAGACAGCGAGGGACAACGGGGTGTGCTGGACCCCGGCACAGCCCCCGCTGGAGGATGCTGCTCTGTACCAGCCAGCGCTTGGGGGGTGCAGGATCAACGTGAGGACCAGGGAGGCACAACAAAGCTGTGAGCATCTCACGGAGCCGTCCGTAGAGAGCAGTCCATCCTGCAGCCAGCAGCTGACTACTTGTCTAATTCTGGGTATTTCCCAGGCAGTTCGAGTTGAATAAACAGCAGTTTGTATGATACTGCTGCCGCGTTTACCCCCAAGGAGGACTTGTACACCATTACGCTGATTCCCAGTTATAAAGTTCAACGCAAAAAATAGAGAAAATTACTGATTTTTTTTTTTTTTTTTTTTTTTTTTTTTTTTTTTTTTTTTTGTTCTGCAGCTCAGCAACCTTGCCCATCACTCTGAAGTGTCTCCTGGAAAACAACGGAATAGACAAACGCGTGGCACGATTCGTCCTCCCTGTTGGCGCCACCATCAACATGGATGGCACGGCCCTGTACGAAGCAGTCGCGGCTATTTTTATTGCCCAAGTAAATGACTATGACTTAGATCTGGGACAAATTATAACGATAAGGTAAATACTCCTTTGTAGAAGCTTTGTCATTTCTCTCTATTCATATTTACCGACATCAGAACAACCTCTCACGCTTCCCCCATTTGGCAGAGATCTTGCTACCGCACAGAGTGAACTCTGCTGGAAACCTGAGGAGCGGGGAGAGGCGCAGCATGTGCCAGCCCCCCGCCCTGGCCGCCAGGGAAGGCTTGGGCTCCGCACCCACAGAATTTGCTGCAGAATCAAAGACTCTGCCTGTAGATAAAAGCCGGACTGCACGGCTAGCACAGCTCAACACCCACAGCACGGACGAATTATCTTAGCACAGAAGGGGCTGTGCAGGTGTAATTTACTCCAGGAATGGAATATCCTCATCTTATAAGCAGGGAAATAAAGCACCCATTAGATAAAAGTCAGGGCAGTTGCCAATGTTTATGCGGGAGCTACCTACACTGGACGGCAGAGGGGCGTTGCGTAAGCACAAAGCCAAGAGCTTGGCCACCGTGTGCACAGCAGGGATTTCCTTACAGCAATAACTTACTCTGCCACGCAAACACGCTTGTTTGTTTGTTTTTTTTAAAAAAAACCCCACAAAATAATTGCCAGCCACCTTGTCTTTGCAGCATAACAGCAACAGCAGCAAGCGTCGGGGCAGCTGGGATCCCCCAGTCTGGGCTCGTTACCATGGTCATCGTGCTAACTTCTGTCGGGCTGCCGACCGACGACATCACACTCATCATCGCAGTCGACTGGGCTCTGTGAGTATTTCCCAGACGCAGCGTTACAGGCGTTGGTGCCAATCCACGGCGCTGTATTGGGAACAGCTTCCACCGGGGCAAATACAGACTAAGGGGTCACAGAACAAGACCAGGAGCCAAGCGTTAGATACTTCACTTTCTGATTATTTTCTTGAAGCAGCCCATGATAACTACAGGCAGACACTCTCCTAAAGGAGTGTTTGACTCGAGGTGTTTCTGTTCCGAGGTGTCCATCGCTGCTAGCGCCTCACTAAGGGCTGTTTGTGGAAGAAGCGGTGATGATTTTCAGCCACCCTCTCATGACCAGCCTGGTCTTTTACCTGTATTCCTATCACGTCTTTCTTGGAGGTCCCAAATAAATCACAAAATCTTTCTGAAACATACACACTCATACTTTAAAGAGATCAAACAGATGCTAGTTTCCTCCACAGTGAGAGGTAGGAAAGGAAAGCAGGGCCATAGGCTTGTCCTCAGAAGCATCACCGAGCAAGGCTGCTGGTTAGCATACTCCCTAGAAACACCTCAAGTCCTACTCTTCTCCAAGCTGTCCACTCTGTGAGCAAAGGATAGAGAGCACAAGAGTCAAAGTGAAGTGGTGGATGGTGCAGTATTTGTTTTGATGGAATATTCTCCCTGGAAGAGGAACGAGGTTGGTAAGGCAGGGTGAAAGGTTATCTGGCTTCATACAAGGAGAAATTAAAATTAGCCAGAAAGATGCTGACAAAAGAGTGACAAAGGGGTTGGAAACATGCAGTTGTTTAGGAAAAAAAAAAGCATAATCTCCAGGAAAAAAGAAAAATCAGTAAGAGAAACCAATAATAAACCATAAACCACTGGTAATTATTTACATGAGCTCATTCAGTTTGCTGTTTCTATTTCCAAACCACGGGCATTTTCGCAATTAAAAAGTAGAAAAGAGAAAGAAATAGATGTCACAGCAAGACAGTAACGAGGTGAAGTACGAGTTGGTTGCACACCAAATCATAGCAGAAAATTAGACAGTCACATCTTGAACAGATGCACCAAAAACCCCTCCTGCATTTAATAAGCAGCTTCTCTCCCAAACCCATATGTCACCAGAACTGAGACATCACTGGAGCTTTTAAAAGCACGGATGACATTTTCAAAGGACTGCATCCAACACCGCAAAGTCTATCTTCCAAGGAGACTGTCTTCATCTTGATGGGTGAAGACCAGATTGATCTTGAGACAAAAACTGCTGCTTGGTGACATTTATTGCAGACAAACAGAAGTCAAACACAGGCGGTTTGTGAAATGTGCCATTTGAAAGATAAAAACGAAGCACGTTAGCTAGGTGAAAAATCATAGCGAGGAGATGCTGATTTCTCCATAATTGACACGTGGGTTGCTGATTTGCGCTTCACAGCCACCCCGGACAGGGAGGAAACAGCATCGAGTATTCCGGCTGCTCCTCTCTTTCTTTCACATAAAAGGGAGTTTGACATTTCAGGTGAAACTTGTCAAATCAGAGCACAACGTAAGTCCAGCCTCTGAGCACCGCGGGGTACCCAGAACATCACCTGCCGCAATGCGCCTATGCTCTCTACTGATGTCAGGGATGCAAGAATAAAGAATAAACAAGGAAGGTGCGTGGCTGATGGACAGGATTTGCTCCCCGAGAGGCATCTCAAGGAATCCTATGACTCACTGAGGCAGCTCAGCCCAACACTGGGCAAAACCGCTGCATCGGTTTGGAAAGCAGCAGAGGGGGGTCTATGCACTAAAAAGAGAAACATGACGAGACAAAAGGAGCTCCCCCACCTGCGTGGCTCACAGACACCGCAGGTACCGTTTCCTCTCTGTACTGGCAGGAGCACTGTGCTCTTGTCTCAACTTGCCATTAGCAAAGCCAGTGGCAGAGACCTCGGGGACGGAGGCTGACACGTTTCAGAGGCACAGAAGGCACCAGGCACGTTGGCTGTGGCCACCAGTCGCATCCTCACGGCTTTCTCTCCTCTAGGGACCGATTTCGAACCATGACCAACGTCCTCGGTGATGCTCTGGCTGCTGGCATCGTAGCACACGTCTGTGAGCAAGACTTTGCCCCAAAGCCCCCCACGGTACGTAGAGCTGGGAGAGGGGGCACGCTGCCGGAGATGCAATGACTACCCACAAACACAGCGCACGCGCTCGCTGAAGAAATTAAAATTGTATTTTTTTCTTTTTGCAGCAAGATCCAGTAAGCAACACAGACAAGTTTCCTTCTGTAGAGGCCTCACACCTGCAACTCAAAGCTAACGTGATTGAAATGATTGAAGAGACTTTGTTTGATCAGACAGGAGTTCACTGCAACATCTGTCAGGTGTAGATGTCACCATTCCCACGGCCAGGAAAGGGACCTTGGTGCTAAACACCGACACCGGGAACGCTGTACGTGGATGCTCTGCAAGATAAAGGCCTCACCTGGCACCGAAAGTGGAAGAACCCTCTCTGTCTTCTGAAGACTGTGGGAGTCTCCAGCCAGCACGGCTCGGCCGTTCAGGGGAGGGGAGCCGGCTCCTCCTTGCAACCGAAGCCACAGCTGCGAGCGGCTGCCCTGACCACCTGAAGCAGCCGGGATTTGAAGGCTTTATGCCTCGCATTTTTTCCAAGCCCAGTTCTTTTCAAAGGTCGGGGAGGTGAGAGGGTATTAGAGAACTGGAACTGGACTAAATGAGAAAACAATAGAGATGGGACAAAAATCTGACACCTTAGGCCAGCAGCCCTTATCTGCTGGCCAGGCTGCACTCTATGTTTCTTTTTTTTTTTTTTTTTTTTTTTTTTTTTTTTTTTTTTTCTTTAATTACTGCTTTTTTTATTACTAAGTTCTCATCTAAAAACTAAGATTAAGCAATTTTTTGTCTAGAGCTCAAAATCCAAGTCAGACATAACTGGATTTTCCAGCCACTACACCAAGACAGGACAGGTGGCTGCAGCGTTCCGCTCACGGACAGCGAGGTTCCTTCTACCCGCAGGGAGGGAAGGACCAGCTGTACTCGTGTCTTTACTCCCTGTTTGACTGCAGTGAAACTAACTGACCAGGTCCAACTGCAACCATGTGGATTCTCCCAGCTAAAGATCTGGCCCAAAGTTCAAGTTCCAATTACAGCCTTAAACCCAGGCTTCCCACGGCAGCCTTCTCCACAAAAGCCTTTTATATACCAATGATGCGTGTCACTGAATTCGTTTCTCTCTCATCTAAATGCAAAATATTTTCTAATTTATTTTCTAATTTAGCAGAAACATTAATTGCACTTTTGCCAAAAGAAAAGCAGAAGTATCATAAACCCGTTTTTGCACAAAAATTTAGTAATCTTCTGGGTAGCTTCAAAAAGCCTTCAAAGAATCAGAAGCGAAGTCAAGGTGAGCTTGAGGTACTGCTGTAACCGCCGGCCTTTCTCACCCTCTGTTCCCAGACCGGAGAGGTTAACACCTTCTTAAACTTAACTGCTCCTGCTGGACAGTAATGTTATTTGCAAAAAGAAAAATCATCACATTTCAGATCAAGAGATCTCTGCGGCGTCCCAGGCCGCCCCCTCCTCTGGTGGTTTATGATCAGCTGGATGTATCACACACAACAGTGCTCAGCACCGCTCTCTGGTGTTTTGGAAACCTAAGGACTGCGGGCTGTCCCTCTATACCCGCGGTAAGCTCGGGCACACAAAACCCCACCGGGATGCTGGTGAAGAGCAGGGAGGCGCCAGGCAGCTCCCAGCTCTGGGGCAGGGACCCGAGCACCGCTGGCTCCTACGCAGCCGTCTGTCCGCAGCAGGGCCCTCCACTCCCCAACCACAAACGGTGAGGTGAACGCTTTGGAGCATGTTGTTCCAAGGGAGCAATTTAAACCAGGGAAGATGAAGAGGACAATTTATCAGGCCTGCTCAGATCCTTGCTTCGTGGTGCCTGAAGCGTCCACAGCCCTTGCTGGGTGCCCAAGGGGAGCCCGGACAACCAGCACCAGAAGCAGCTGAGTCGAACGCTGCTTTGGGGATATCCTCCCCTCTCATTAACGAGCTCTGGACATTACAACACAGAATCTTAATCGAGCAATAAGACAGGACCGAATGTCTACAACAAAGGCTTCTTGGGTCGATGGTGGGGATGCAGGATGAGTCTCCGGGCAACTACTCACATCCCAGGGCTCTGCCTCCCGCAGAGCAGCCAGGTTTTCTCCCCTGCCTCCGAAGGCTGCAGTCCTGCTAGCAACATCTCAAACCAGCACATCCGCAAGCTACTGCAACTGGAAGAACAAACTATTGCTGACAAAACTGCATCTCAGGAATAAATCCAGAGCTGGCGAAGTGAACACAACTCTGCGCAGCTTGCCTCAGGAGTTCCAAGTACTGTGGTTTATCAAGTGCTGGTAACACCTCTTTAGCATCAGCAAGGATGTTGTTCCAATAAGATAAAAAAAAAAAAAGTCACGTCACAGAACCTTATGAGAAATACAGTGAGAGAGAGCTTTAACCACCCAGTGGTCTCAAAACTCGGGTGTGATCTCTTTGTCACTCTAACAGGATAAAACAAGGGAAAAAAGAGAATTCAAATGTTTCTGAAAGTCTCTTTGTGGTCTGGTACAAAGTGAAGCCATCATTATTGATGGGAAAAAGCCAAAGGCAGGAAGGATAATCCATCTTCAGCACTGCAAACGGGCACAGAAGCAGCAGCTTAACACCTTTTAACAGGAAAAATAAATTGTGGAGAGAAGCTTAAGCAGCAGATTTACTGAATGCCCAAGTTAAGTGGCTACTAAGGCATCCGCTGTCTCAGCTGATGTCCCTGGGACGGTACCATCCCAACCCCACCAGGAGGAACATTTACACCAGTCTGCTGCTCAGCAGGGAATGACAGCCTCAATTTGCCAAAACTCTGCAGACAGGCACCTGTTAAACCCCAAAGCGTCAGCACAACTTCACGTACAGAGAGTAAGTGAAAACTTGTCAGTGGCTGGGTGACAAGAGATTTCCAGACAAGATTTCTGGAAGACAAGAAAGCAGCACAGAGTCTGGACAACGTCACTGGGCATCACCTGAAGGAGTTTTATCCTGTCCTGACAATACTGAGGAGTGGCAGGACTGGAGGGAGGCAAGGTGACACACGCTCCAGGCCAGGCAAATCAAGGCGTCTTGCTCAGCAAACTGAAAGCTCCATTCAGCATCAAGAAAGGTCAAATACTAAATCTTACTGATATGCTGCACCCTCACAGTATCTTAGACTGTTTCCCCAAATACCTGTACGAAAAAAAGGTGCCTCTCCGTTCTAGCGAAGAAAACATCCATCATCTTCTGTCGCATCTCCATGCAGCTGGAGACATACAGGCAGCACAAAGCACGTGTACTAAAGACACTGAAATCTGGTGCACGGAACGAACACAAGCTCCAAAAGCCTCAATTTCTTCCTCAGAAATCCTGCTTTTCTTCACAAATATAAATATCTCAACTGACATTGTGATGTCGGTGTTCCCCAGATTATGGCTTGTGTACAAAACTTCCTAATAAAGTTGGAAAGCAACTGGGGAAAGGAACTTGGTTGTTATACAAGTATTATTTCCACTAAAAAAAAAAAAAAAAAATCACATAAAGCTACTTCTGTAAACTAAAATCCCTTTGAGCGATAAGTTACGGGTTCTGCGGTTATTAAACAAAAGAAGTAGAAGCAGCCCTTGGCTTTACGGCACCTCCCAAACACCAGCAGAAAATCCACTTACTCGGCCATACGAGCTTTGGTCAAGGAATGACGTTTCCCCGATGGGGTGAATTTGAGGATGTGACTCCCCATGAACACTCGGGCTCAACGAATTTGCCCCGAACTGGCCCTCCCGCTCCAGGGGAAGCTTTACACAAGAGATGCCAGCTGTTTTCTACAGTCCACGATGAAGTTGCCTTCATCTTAAAGAACAGGCTCCTTCCCGTGCTATTAGATGTCTTCCAGAGCATTAATTATTTTTACACCTCCGAATTTACAGAAGTGATGGGGTTTGATCAGGGACTGTCACTTTTATATTATTTTTACACCTTTTTAGAATTTATAGAGTGACCACAGTAGCAGCGGGGCACGGTAACCTTTGAAATTGTATATTCAGTCAGCAGAGAGCGCTGCTACCTTTTCTTTAAGATCAAAACGCACCTCGGTTTGTCTTACTGAAACAGAAAAAACCCGACAAAAATAACTCAAATGTTGCAGCACGTGGCAAAAAAGAATCAAAACAACAGATGTGAAAAATAGCCCAAGCCTCCCGTTTTTTAATTTAAAGTACTATCAGTTTCAAAATTATTCCGTGCCAGTTTTCTAGAATAACTTTGAAAATGCCATTCCACGAGTTCTGAAAGTCTTTATTTGAATCTATTAGAACACCAGGTTGCTCTGTAAAATCAGGTTTCCAAAAGCAGCTCTAAGCGATACTCATGGCTTAACTCCCTTTTTAAATCTGAACTGGCAGCACATAACCTTTACTAAATGCTCCTTTAAGGAGTGGATGGGGCCCCGGTCGGAGTTGACCGTCTCCGCCTCTTCCCTTCTGATTCGCTGCACATAATCTATTTCCTTAAGGAATTCCTCGCTTTTGTCTGATGTAATAAAGCTTTCTAGAAGATCTGAACACATCGTTCCAGTCCTTCCTGCAGGCAGCTGCTCCTCACGACACGACCCACCGATTACCCTGCTCCCCCCACGTAATTCAACAGATCCCGCTGGAGATTCAGTGGTACGAGAGCGAAGAGATGGCACAGCAACGCTAGTGTCCATCTGCAAGCTGTTTCACAACAAAAGCTCAGATCTAATTCGTAAGGATTTTTTATGTAGCGTCCAAACGCACCCGCAGCTTGGCTGGGCACGCAGGATTTCTGTTCAGCTACGCCACCATCGCCGCGCAGAGCCAAGCAACCACCCAGCAGAACACGGTGCAAAGAGGCCGCACGGCCTCGTCGGCCTGGATCTCCACAAGCCCCGGCAATTCTGCACCGCGTTTCAGCTGCGTTTGACATTGTCCATCTGCAAACTTCCCAGGTTCTCAGCGTGGGGAGAAAGCTGTAACGCCCCTGGGTAAGATGCTCCAAAACCCACGTCTTGGTGGCTTGCCTCACGCGAGCACGGACATCCTGGTGCCCAGGGGTGCAACACACACTCACCTTTGTTTTCTAGTGTTACATATCTCATTTAAACTACAGAAATTGTCCCCTGTAGTCCACTGGAAGAGCTAGTCACCTTTATGAGCAGTAACTCTCGTATTCCAGGAGAAGATGAACTGTCTTCTGAAGTCTCTTACTGATGGGCTTGGACTGGGGGCTAAGAACTGCTTGAGTCAGGAGGATGAATCCACTCTAAATTACATGTCTGAGCAGAGATACTTAGAATGCTGAGCCTTCAAACTCCCCAAGACCAGATTTTGGCTTTGATTTTGAGACATGGACTACCCAAACCATAGCTCTACACAGGCAGGACAACACAACAGGGTTGAAACATTATACCCAACCCAAAACTTGCTGCTTCACTTACCTGGTCATCTCGCCTCAGAGATCTTCTACTCGCTGTCCTTCCTTGAGCAGAACCACAACAAAAAGGGTATTTGGGCATTCTCCACCTCATTCCCCTTTCAATAATCCTGAAGTCTTCAATCATCTGCAAAGCATTACCTTAAACCACAATCTGGTGCTGAAGGATTAGTAACAGCAGCATCACGGCCCCCGCCTTCAGGACTGTCTCGTCTTCAGACATCTTGACTCTGGGTTGCTCTTTTTGTCTGCCCTCCGAATGCCAGATCCCAAGCAGTCACCTGCTCTGACAGGCTGCAATCGCTGCAGACAGACAGCAGGAATGCTCCTTGCACTTAGAGCCTGGCAGGCATCCGCTGCTGGTTTCACAGCTCTAGCCAGGCTAAACGCCTCACGGTTCTCCCAATGCCAACAAAACGCCAACCCTGACCTTTAACTGTCAGTATCTACTGCTCACAGACTGGCAGAGCTTCTGGGGAAGATACCTGCATCCAGTCATCTATTATTCAGTTATTAGCTGCTTCCTTCCAACCCGAGCACCGATTTGCATTTCTTATACATAATATATATATATGAGAAGTCTTAAGTAGGAAATAAAACATTCACACATCTCCTCTGCAGGTAAAATTATTCATTTGCTCACAACTAGTTATAAAAGGAGAAATCTCTCTTTGTACTCATTCACAGCCAAGCTTTTTCAACCATGTAAAAAAAATATGCATACAGGGAACTGTTAAAAATGTTTGTTCCCCTGTGGACCCGAATAATTTCACCTTCTGCAATCAAAAAACCTCCCCTTCCCTTCACCTCATGATCCAGCAAAAGCAGCAGCTCAGTGACACGGAGCCAAGCTCAGTCTCGTAGCCGTGACACAGCCTGAACACCACCGGCTCCTCAAGCAGCTCTACCGGGACATGTTCAGCCCGCCAGTTCCTGCCTCAGCAGTGCCAGACCAGACGTACAGGGCAAGGTGCAAACCCCCCATAAATCGGCAGAAACAACCAGCCCCGTTCCCTCCTCCTTTCCCCAGCCCTTCCTCAAAGCATCCGGCTCTTCACCTAAGTCCCAGCAGACGAGGTGCTCGCCCAAGATCTTCTCTTTTCCCACCTCCCAGTACATAAGCAGAAACTTGGCTGCTGACTTTCCCTTTAGCACATCCCCAGAGGGAGTACCAAGTGCACAGTGAGATCAAGACGACCGAGCTGCAGCGCACTGCTTTCCATCTCAGGGGACAGCTAAGTTGAAAATACTGGCAGCTCAACAGGTTTCTATGCGTTCATTTCACTGTGTCCTCATCCCACGTGATACCTTCACTTCCACTCCTGTCCCATCCCCAGCTAGAAAACCACCAAACTGCTCTACTGGATCATGGTCAGAGTAAGAAAAGCAGAATAGTTCAGTTCAAAATTAACAGGATGTCAAAATCTTGAGCCTTTCTACCTAAGGCCTTGTAAGCACGAGCTCCGTGGCACTGTCACGCACTGCATCTGGGAACAGCGCATCCAAAAAGCTGCTCTGCAGACGCTCACTGCAGCCTGTTTGGAGGAGAGAAATCACGAATCGGCCAACCTGAGCCTCCCCCCTTCCACGCCACCTGTAAGACAAACCCCTGAACAACCAGATGCTTTGAGATTTCCAAGTTCTCATCAACAGCCTTCCACTACATTTTCATTAAAAAAGTGATGAGGTCAAGAGTAGATTGCCAAATCCTGTCCTGGAATCATTTCCTCATTCCCAGCCTTGGGCATCCCCTAGCCAAAGGGTACAGACCAACGGCACACGTAGCACCGGGCCCCTCACATCCCCATCTCCAGTGCCGTGTCATGAAATCCCCGAGCCATTCGGGTTGGAAAAGCCCCTCGGGGTCACCGAGTCCCTCAGCCCGACTCCACAAAGCTCTCCCCTACCCCACATCCCCCCCAGCTCATCCCCACGGCCCTGAAACCCCCCCCGGGATGGGGACTCCCCCCTCCCCGGGCAGCCTGTTCCACTCTCGGACCACTCTGTCTGGGAAACATTTTCTCCTCCTGCCCAGCCTGACCCTCCCCTGGGGCAGTTTCCAGCCGTTCCCTCTTGTCCTGTCCCTGATCCCCTGGGAGCAGAGCCCAGCCCCGGCCTCTCTGCAATGTCCTGTCAGGAGCTGCAGAGAGGGATGAGGGCTCCCCTCAGCCTCCTCCTCCTCACCCTGAGCACCCCCAGCCCCTTCCCTGGCTCCTCACAGGATTTATTCTCCAGGCCCTTCCCCAGCCTCGTTGCCCTCCTCTGCCCTCGCTCCAGCCCCCCGAGATCTCTCCGGGATTGAGGTGCCCAAACCTGGACACAAGATGCTACAAAGCATGCGACTGAGTCCATTTGACCATTGCCCTCCTGCTCCTACAGGGCCCTGAACAATTTAAACTCAAAGCTTCCTCTCCA